GTGGTACTAAACAATTTTATAAACCATAATATTCCCTTTTACTGCATATATGCAATTTTCTCAAAGATACAAAATATATATTATTGATGAAGAAAAGGGTACAAGAGGACAACTGTTACACCAAGAACAAAATGGTGAACAAACACATTTTCAACAAGCACAGCACAACTCCCCTTATATCCGTACCAATAGGGCATGGCATTGTTTAACAAGAAATAGTTCTACTTCTAATTCTTATTTTAATAAAAAGCATAATCAATTGAAAAGTTTGTGAAAATATGCACGTTCAAGCATCTTGGAAATGCCTAATGCCCAATATCATGTTCATACCAAACTGAAAACACTACCTTTTATATTTGGGTAATAATTTAAACAAAATTCATCCTGGAAGATGCATATATGGCATCAATTTATTACATACCTTTGACGAATTTTCTCAAGCTCCCTGGGATCAGAGACTACAACTTGGACACCCAACTGCATCTTTGTCTTCTGAAGATTAAAATCAAGACAAGCAATTTTTGCAGGGGCAACTCTAAGAGGCATTCCTTGGGCTGCACGACCAGTATTTAGAGCATACCCATTCATTAGATAGCTATCTCTGGCACTTTTTCCATGAGCTTTCAATATATTGATTCCCTGGAAATTTAAAAAAAAAAATCATATTTGAACCAAGCTTAAGCATAATATCAAGAAAAAATTTAAGCAAGATTGAACTATATATTACCATTTAAAAAGCTCGAGACTAATATTGATGACCAGATGACATATTACCAAATTCAACTTTTTTTTAGCACGGAAAAGAGATTCACAGGAGAATATCATCAAGTTCATCAAATTACCAACCTTGATTGGGTATTTAACTTCACCACGGGCATTGGTCATCTTTACTGCTTGTACTGCATCTACAACCTGAATATTGTACAAAAAATTCAAATTTAAATTGATCATTCAAATGATGACTAGCTCAGAAACAACAGCTAGTTTCCCGCACAGACAAACTAATGACTAAGGAACAATTACTCAAAATGAACTGATAATGCTCCAACAAAAGACAAATTTAAAGTAAGTCTTAGCGTAGAATGCAGCAAGCAGAAATCACAACATTCTTATTCTTATTCTAAACTTCAGTGAAGCTTACAGTTTGCCAAACAGTTTCAATATTGCTTTTGTCTCCTACCTCTTTTTCTTCCTTTAAATTGATTAATTGTATTGTCCTGCCATTAGCATACTCTGGATATGATTTTAAATTCATTAATTCTAGAGGCATAGACACAGCACTGATACTGGAAATTATGTTTGTGGTCAAGGATTATTATATCACCTCAGGTTGTGAAACATAGAATATAACAACAACAACACAAACAACCAATTTCACAAACAAATCAATAAACCTCAAATATCCAGCAGAGGCCTCCAACAGTTTGCAATTCGTTTGACTAAGCCTGATTACATGATTATGCAGAATAAAAAAATAATCATAAAGTACTTGACCATACAGTCAGCAAAGTTACACATGCAATCCAGGTTGAGAGTCAAGGCATAAATGAACTATCAGAACAGCATACAGAAAATTAATATTAGTCATTGCATTGCTTAAAACGTTTCAAATCAAAGATGATTTCTGTGGCAAAAGGGGAACCATTGCCCTCTAAGGAAAGCATAAAACATTGGCTCTTTACTGTTAATCCAAGCAAGACAGAAATGTAAACAGAAATGCTTAAAAAGCTTTGTCTGAACATACCAAGTCGGCAAAGAAATCACTATCACCAGCTATCAACTTTGAGGACATGCTGGTCTTGGCACAGTTAATCAGCGAATCCTTTCCAAGTTTCTCCACCTGCAATGGCAAAAGAACAATCAGATTAATTAAGAATTTAAGATATAAGATAAATAACCGCCAACAAATGCATCAATTTCACACAAAATCATGGCTAATTGATCAGAGCTAACCGTTGTTTCACAGAATATAAGATAAGGAGCCAGAGGAGATGACCGAGAGAAAAGGAGTAGAAGAAAATAAAATATGCTCCAATAATTCATAGCAACACTGCATCAACTCAATAAAGCTAAAACAGAAATCTTACCTTGACAGACAGCTTCTCTTCCACATATTTGCAAGCTTCTCGCATCGCAAGCTATCCAAAATCCAGGACAATTAACAAAGAGAAGCGATAAGTTTTGCGTGTCTTGCTTAAAAGGCAATATATGCATGAACTATAAGAAAGCAGAACAATAGGAACAAAGATGCTTACTCGGTATCCACTGATAATTGAAGTTGGATGAATCTTATTTCTCACTAGATCATTTGCTCTCTGCACAAAAAAATAGAAAATGCCCGATGACATCCTACACTATAATACCCTACAAAATACATATGAACAGCTAGGAAATTGAGGTTTGAACTTACTTTTAGCAACTCTGCAGCTACAATGACCACAGAAGTTGTGCCATCTCCTACTTCTTTATCCTGAAGTTCAGCCAATTCCACCAACACCTGAAAGCCCATGAATGAATGTCAAAGTGAAGCTAATGTATGACAAATCACAAAATCAAAATATGATCATCACTTCACCTTGGCTGCAGGGTGCTCTACTTCCAACATTCTAAGTATAGTGGCACCATCATTAGTAATGGTCACATCACCAATGTCATCAACGAGCATCTAAAATAAACAACCAACAAAAGTCATTCATTCGTAAAATCGCATAATACATAATTCATGATCGTTGTCAACATCCAGAACAAAGGAGCAAGAGTTACAACAAAGCCACGGCAGTGTATAATACTTCAACTAAACCCAGAAAGACTCGTAAGAACAAAGAAAAAAGGATGCGAACCAGATTACATGAACGAACAAAAAAAAATGTGTATTATTATTTGTATCCAACAAAAGAGGCAAAGAAAATCAAGTAAAAGATAAGACAGAATCGTACCTTGTCGAGGCCAACAGGACCCAATGAAGATTTCACAATGTTCGCAACTGCTTGGCAAGCCACCACTGTAACGCAAAGTTCAAAGCGCATTTACGCAAATTAGACCCCCAATGTGCAAGTGTGTTAGAATTGTGACTTGATATCAATTAAGGAATGATGCATTAAAGCAGCAACATTTTTCAAGTAGACATATGAAATGGAAAAAAGAAGCTTCTTTTATAAAATGGAAGTTGGGAGGAAGGTACCATTCTGGGTCCGAACGTCCTGTCCAGATTGGCGCTCCCCGGAAATATCAAGGGTTTGTGCAGCAACTGCCATTTATGATTTCTACAGGGGGAGAGAGAAGAAGCCTTACATAAAACTCGAAAGTGAAGAAGCAAGCAGCGATTGCAAGCATGCTGATTTCGTTCTAATTCATCAATAAACAACGTAAAAGAAAGAGATCCAGAAAAGACATAAACCTGTAATGCAATAGAGAAATGAGTGGGACAAGAACCAGAAAATTCAGAGGGAGTGATCGGGGGAGCAGAACACAGGGGTCTAGGGTTTCTCTACACTATTTGCTTCAGTCTCAGTCTCCCGGACCTTCAAGAAGGGTTTAGGCACTCAATTTAGGTTCTTGTTACCATTTTTTTTTTCTTTTTTTTTTCTTTTCTTTTTTTTTTTTTTTAGCTAAGACAAAAGTTAAGCTGAGTTGCTGCCGAGGTTTTCCGGTACTGCCTTTGACATTATTCGGATGAATTTGTTTTGCTTAACTTTCATTATTACTGTTTTTTAATAATTTCATTGTTACTGTTAACCCGTTGAAAAACAGAGGGGTTATCCAAATCCAAACTTTTTAAAATAAATAAAATTAGATAAAAGGTTATACAACACAAAGTGAGCAATGATTTTACAGTACATCTTATTCTAATTTCATAAGAATGATAATAGTCAGTGATAGATATATATATATAATATATATATATATAAAATTAATAATTCAAAATTACATATTATCCACCAACAAAATCTTCATGTAGACATTAAAATTTGATTCTGCAACTGCGTAAGTTGTAGATTAAATTCTTATCAATTAAACAAATATTTTTCAGTAATAGCAAAGAATTATATTATATACTATTGTATAAAAATATATGATAAAGTTTATTGCAATTTCCGCAAGCATCAAATAATAAATAATTGACAACACAACTTATTTCTTATTCTTAGATTACATGCCCACATGCAGAACTTTTTATTTAACTACAAAACCTCGCTTATTCTCACAGTATTATAACATATAACTCCAAGAGAAAATAAGGGTAAAGAACATCTAACAAATTTGCAACCATCTTATCGCAATTTACTTGTTACGAATTTGTTGTAATAGCTGTGAAGCTCCAATAACTATTAAAATTTAGACATAGTAACTAAAATTTTTCTATACAGTGAGTGTTTCAATTACCATCATTAAATTTGCAATCTGAAATTTTATGAATATCCCGTGACAATTTCTAACAACTTTTTGAATAAATTAAATGATTATAACCATATCGAATGAAATACTCAAGTAAGTTTATTTATATTACTCACTGAATCCAAATTCATAACTAGACTCTGAACCATAGTGATAAAGAGATTAGTATAATTCAACTCTTTAAAAAAAAAAAATTGGAAACTCAAATGAAATCTCAAATGAAATCTTTTACCATGGTATAATTCAACTTTTTTTTTTTTGGAAACTCAAATGAAACCTTCCTATTTTCTGGTATTTTACTATTTTACCACAATAAGGTCCCTTTCATGAGGCAGTAGCGTCATTCTCCCTGGGATTAAAATATCACATGCCTATTTATAAGCCTAATTAAGAGAGCGACAAATACATGAAGAAAAAATTTTCCTGCTACGGATATTGAACTTGTCAGCAAATACTGCGCTTCTATTGGCTTCTATCACCACCATTGCATGTGCTTCCAAGCTCTTCTTTCAGCTAAATCATGGCTTCTGCTTTTGCTCAATAATCAACTGCGACATCCGTTCCCACGAGACCAAAAAAAAAAATACAACAAAATCTCAAAACAATTTAACAACTTGAGCGTTTTGTATAGACTAACCCGCCTACAGTAACACAATAAACAGTTAATCTTAGGATCACGCTTATTATCATGCATCCGAACAATTTTGATGGCAATGTTCCGAGAATAAACAACAGATATATGAAATCAGAATTAGCCAGCTCTGGTTAAGGTTTCAGGCAGAAAACTGCGTGTGTCCGTGCTGCTTCAGCTCAGAAGCAGCATTTGAGCTACTGCCGTCAAAAAAAGTGATGGAAGAAGATTCCGGCAAAAGAATGTGGGATCAAATTCCAAGAACCAATCCGTCATGCACTAGTAGCGTCCACAACACTGAAACTTCTATCCACAGCATAATCCACAAAACCATACAGAGGAAACACTCGTTCCTGGTACTTCTGAGGAAATCCATCTAACTCTGCCTTGGCCTTTGCTTTAAGCTCCTCAGCCAACTCAGTTGCTTTGTCAATTCCGTATATCTCCACATAACTCTTCCCCCTGTTTTTCCTCTCGCCTTCTTTCTCAGATTTCGTTTTTGTTCTTAAAATATCATTCACAATTGCGTACAGTACTCCCACAGCTCTCCCATACTTCCTCAGTCTCTCAATGTCATCGTCTTCAGCACCAGCTAGAAGTCCTCCACATGCTGCAGAACACTCCCCCATTTCCCCGTACTTCTTTTCTTGGATGAATCCAATTTCGCTAGGCCCGCCTTCAAGGTCGAGGAACTGCCCCGCCGCCATGCCGGTGGAGCCTACAGAACGGGCGATCTCGGAGATCACACGGAGGAGTTGGGCCTCAGGCACAAGGTCAGAGGGAGTATGGGAAACAATGTGATGAAATCCAAGTGGAAAAAGAGCGTCACCAGCGAGTATGGCCATGTCAACACCATAGACAGTGTGGTTGGAGGGCTGGCCTCGACGAGAGGTAGAGTCATCCATGCAGGGTAGGTCATCATGGATCAATGAAGCTGCATGAACCTGTCAGAAATATACCATAAACCATTTATTCTATCGAGCCTCTCATGAATAAAATTGAGGAACTTAGCAAAGGCAAGCCTTTTCGTATAATTTTGGTTTCCAGAACAAACTGTTAGTTATAAAAGTTAAGCCACACTACTTTGTTCAGAAAGATAAAAATAGGTGTTGTAAAAACCAATGATTCTTTCGTTGAGGTCTAAGACAAACAAGTGCCACTTTAGCTGACTATTTCTTATCTTTTGCATTTTTAAGCAAATGCGACTGGAAAAAGGAATAACAACCAGACATTGAAGCAACATTCCAAGGAGCAATCAAACTACATGAATGCTATAAAACGAGCAATTGTAATAACCGTAAGATGAAAAGCGTGAAATTACTAAATTAAGGCCAAAATAAAAAAGAGTAAAGAAGGAGACCATTTCAAGGGCGCAGGCGGTGGGGAAAGCGGCGCTGCGGTGGGCGCCGAAGAGTTCGCAGGTGGCGATGCACATGACAGGAGCGGAGCGCTTAGCACCTTTGGCGAGGACAGAGTACCTCATAGCTTGGTAGATCTGGGGAGGGAAGTTGACGGGAATGGCTTCGTCCAGCTTGAGATTGATCTGAGACATCAGAGAAGTCCAATAGGACTTCAAATCGAAGGAAGTGGAAGAAACTGGAGAAGAAGAAGAAGAAGATGCACGAACGGGTAAAACAAGCTTGGGTGGCTTTCGGGGGAGCCACAGGTGGGAAGAAGAAGGAACCATAGCAAAAGAAGGCATCGTATTGGAAATTGCAGATTGGATGGAAGAAGGAGAAGAGGAATAAAACAATTTCCAAGTCCAGCGGGATTCCCATGATAAGGAACCAGAGGATGTCGTAATTACGGAGAGTATGGTGAGCGCATTTATATTGGGAAAATTTCGTTGAAGACCCTGCGCCAGGCTTATTATAAACGAAAGCCCCTAAATTTTTATTATTTCACTCCAAGTTAAGGTATTAATTTAATATTAATTTTTAAAAAAAAATGATAAGATTGCCTTTCATTGAAAAGAAAAAAAATAAAATAATTAAGTAAGAGTGTTACAATGAACCAAATGATGTAGAAAAATTAATAACATTTGATAAGATAATAAATTATATATAAAGGATCACAAACAACTACTCCAAACATGAAACTAACACTTAAAATTCTTTTAAGTTAGAGTATTATAACAAACAAATGAAATAAGAAAATGAATAATACTCGATAGCATAATGATTAATGAACCATATACAATAAGATCATGAATGAATCCCAAGTATGAAATCAACACTTGAAATTTTTTCAAATGAAAGTGTTGTAACTAGCAAGTAAAATGAAAAAATTAACAACATTCAATAAGGTAATAAACCACATACAATAGAATTGTGAACAAGTCATCCAAACATGAAACAAACAATGATGGCTAATCTTGTCATTTAAAAAAAATAATATTAAATTAATATTTTTGACTAACAATGGTATATCAAAAATTTAAAGGCTTTCTTTTAGATCTTTTATCCCGTTTACATTTGAGGATGAGTTTAGGATTCTCTCTCTTTTTTACATGGATTAAACCTTTTCCATCACCACCATCCATTTTTCATAACCAGAGGCTCCACATTTTTGTGCAAGGGGCTAGAGTGGTAGAACAAGATCAATTTTTAACCTATTTAGTTCTTATTCTCATTTTTTTCAAAAAAAATTGTTTAATAATACAATCTTCAAAATTATTTTTTAAAACAAAATAAAATGAAAATCCATTTAATTAAGTCAATTAAAAAATAATTTTAAAATTAAAAATGGACTAATAATGATAAATATGAATAGTTAATGATAATAATTAATAATAATAATTGATTAAAATAACTATAATTTTTAATAAGTAAATGTTGTATATTTTAAAAATAAGAAAAAGAAAACAAAAACAACTTAAAGTTGTTTCTATTTTTAATTTTTAACAACAAAAAATGAAAACATTTTTAAAAATAATTAAATAAAAAACACTTATACAAACAAGTATTAAAGTTCTTTTGTTTTCAAAAATAAAAAATAGGTTAAAATATATAAAACTTTCCTAAATTTTGAAACAGATATATATGAACTTTCTCACTTTTAAAAATTTAAAATTAACCTCCTAATCTTCAATTTTATTTTTAAAACCCCTTATTATTAATTATGTCATTTTTTATGAAGGTTAAAATGTTATTCAATTAAAAAATATTATTAAATAAAAATATTATATTATATCATTATTTATAATAAATTTTTATATTTTTTGAATAGTTGAGGCATTAATAATAGCCAAAACAAATGTTATCATCACTATATAAAATTTTAAATATTTACTTTTGTATTATTTTTTTTGTTATCAATGGTGCATAGTTTTCTAGTATTAAAAGATAAATTAATCTAATATGGTAATATTTAAAATTTTAAATATTTTAACTATGTGCATTATATTAATCTAATATGAAAATATAAATAAAAATTTATCTTTTAAAACAATAAAATCATGCACCATTAATAACAAAAAAAATAGATAAAACTAATATAAATATAAATATTTAAAATTTTATATAGTGATAATAATATTTTTTTATCAATACCTCAACTATCCAAAAAATATAAGAAATTTATTTTAAATAATTATACAATATAATATTTTTATTTAATAATATTTTTAGTTGAATGACATGTTAACCCTCATAAAAAATAACATAATTAATAATAGGAGGTTTTAAAAAATAAAATTAAAAATTAAGAATTTAATTTTAAATTTTTAAAGATAAAGAGGATTATATATAATTGTTTTAAAGTTTATGAAAGTTTTATACATTTTAGCCAAAAAATAATTTTTAAAAGCAGAAAACAAACTTACCCAACGGCAGATAATTAATTACCCAACGGCCAACGGTCCAAAACCACTGAATTAGTGGGCCCAAAAAGAGACTAACAAGAGAAAACGCTCCATCAGGATAAGATTGGTTAATATTGTATTCTAGTCATTGCACAATTTTATTTATTTATCATTTATTTTATTTATTACTATATATTTTCCGTTCCTTCGCCTTTCAGTTTTATTTATCTCTCCACCAAGGAACATAGTTATTTTACATATCATGAATTTTAATATTTCTCTGACGGTTCAAAGTCCTCTAGTTCAATTGGGTTCCTCGCTCATATCTACCTTTCATTGTTAAATTTTTTCCATTAAGTTTGTAAATTTTCTCCTCTTCTAATGCAAGGCTAAACTACTATGAACTCTTATAAATAAATAAATTTTTTTATTATAAATAATTAGACTTTTATTATTATTTTATGAATTTTTGGTTGTTAACTTTTTCAAGTAAATTTTTTTGCAGCGCGTATATTCTTACTCATTAAGACTGTAGTGCCATCATGTACAGGCATGATGAAGCGGAAATCTATTCATTAAGCATAGGTTCATGGAAGGAATTAAAAATTGGGGCTTTATAGAATATCCAAATTCTAGGTTAATATGTAATTTGAATCTTAAAATATAGGTCAAGGAATAATTTAAATCCTAAACTTTTATTTGCTGCACTCTAAACCCTAAATAATTAAAATTAGTGTAATTTTGCCTTCACTGTTAAATTAAAGTAAATGTCTATTATTTTTAAAAAAATGGAGCCTAATGTATATTTTTCACCAAATTTCACTCTCACTCTCTATCCTACCCTTCTTTGAGAAAAATTACACATTAAATCTCATTTTTTAAAAAAAAATAATGGGAGTTTGTCTTAATTTAACAGTGAAGGCAAAATGCTAAAATTGCTCTAATTTTAATTATTTAGGATTCAGAATGTATTAAATAAGAGTTTAGAGTTTAAATTGCCCCTAAACTTATAGTGCAAGGTTCAAATTGCATATTAACCCTAAAATTTTATCTCAAGGTGTCAATGCTAATGGAACTTTGGAAAGGGCCTTTTTCATGTTAGTTTCTTTTGACATATCAACCGAAGTGTTTTCATTAATTAACACCAATGCATACTTTAACGTCTAATGCGGATCCAGCTAAGCATGGTGTTTATCCATCTAGGCTTGATGTATAGGAGAATAAAGTTGCTTTGTGTGAGGATTACAACTTTGTGATTGAAAACTCTAAATCTTATTTCATTGATCCGTGGGTAATAGAGGAGAAGAGTGCTAGTAAATCAAGAAAGAGCTTGAGCCCTATTAAGAAATACAGGTTGGGACCAATTTCAAATGCTTTAGAACCCTTGTGGTTGGATGAAAGTTAATGTAGATGGAGCAATGTCTAATATTGATGGCTGAGCAGCGTGTGGTGGTGTTATTCGAGACCACATCGGCAGGTGGACAACAGGATTCACTCATTATACTAGGGATTGTGGTGCTTATTCTGCTGAAATACGAGCTATCTTCAAAGGGCTATGTTTAGCTTGGAACATGGGATACACACGTATTATTGTTGATCTAATGCAAAAGAGGCTGTAGACAATCTCAACTATACTTCTTCATATAGCACTGCTAGTTTGCTTCACCTGCAAATTCTGTCTTTGCTCAACTACGATGGGGAGGTGAAGATTGTTCATGTTCCTGGAGAGGCAAACTTTGTGGTTGATATGCTGGCAAAGCAGGGCCTTTAATAGTCTTCCATATTAGATATGGTCCCTCCTTATTTAAGGGACCTTGTGGATAAAGAGTGTTTGGGACTTCAGTCCCCTTCCTTTTAATTTAATTCACTGTCAGGCTCCGCCCTCTCTTGTAGCAAAAAAAATGCGTCATAACCCTTATGTATCTAGAGGAATACAATAGTCTGCCGTCATACAGAAGCAAGGCTGAGGAGTAGAGTGGCCCAAAGTATTTTCTTTATCTGTTCAATCTCGTTGCTAAGGAATGGAAGAAGTTTCACAACTTTTCAACTATATGTGACTAGTGTCATATCTTCAATTATGAGAAGAGCCTTGTATATGTTTGCAACACCCAGTTTGAGTAGCCTTGTTCTGAAATGCTATCATTTCTACATTCTTGGTTTCTTTTGTCTATGTAATGGTGGAAGTTAATCCACAAAACACTATCATTTTGGTTCTACCTACATTACTTGATGACCTCTAGATCAGTGATCTAGAATGTAGAAATTCAGTAATACTTGTTCCAAACTTTATTTTATCTATCCCATGTCATCATATGTTTAATCTTCAAGGATGAATATATAGTTCAGTTCTTGCTATATTCTTTTTCTGGGTTTTGTTAGTCCCATGGTATATTAAGAGGATAGGGAAGGTCAACATGGACATATTAAAGCTTCTAGCTTGGTTACTTTACATTTAATGGAGTGATGGATTCGATAGACTGCAGAAGAACGTGAACTATGAGTCATTGCTTTGTGTTTTAGACTTTTAAACTGATACTGCTTTGTGCCTCAATTGGTAAATCACCATAGGCTTGCTGTGTTATATGAAGGCCTTCCTATTTGTGTTCAATCTCACACGTGGATATGCTTATCATTCTATTTTCAATTGCACAGAGAACCTTGTGTCTCTATATCTGTGAAATGATTATACTTAAATTGTAGATTTACTTTGTTTCCACTTTTTGGGTGGAAGTGAGTTTGCAAAAAGCTTAGCATTTTGATTGCTCCTGTAGTCTTTATCCGTTATCCACATTAAAATGGTTGTAACTGGGATAAGCTTTATCAATGCAATTTTCATAGGCTACGGCTATGGCTATGTATTTTGAGGTAAGCATAAGCAATAGCAAATGGATGCAACATTTCAATTTTAATGTTTTAATATTATATACAAAAATAAAAATCAAGTTATTTTTTAATGAAAAACTGTTTACATATAAAATATATTAAAA